ATAATTCGTTGTTCGATTATTGTTTCCAGTAAAAAATAAAAAAAAGGAAAAATGTATTTGCGATCAAATAAGCGTCCTTTTTTTTTTTTTTTTTTTTTTTTTTTTTTTTTTTTTTTTTTTTTTTTTTTTTTTTTTTTTTTTTTTTTTTTTTTTTTTTTTTTTTTAATATATATATATATATATATAAATGTTCTTTAGTAAGTGATACGAGATGATCCATAGTATAGTAGCAAATTATAATAGATTGATAAAATATCTTTTAGAAATGATCTAAAATGATCTATAAGTTTAATAGTAAAGAATTATATTGATTATAATAGATCGAGTAGATTTTCATCTATAAAATGAGGAATTTTAGTTAGGTGTATAATAAAGAAATTTTTTTTACATGTTTCTTTTTGTTTGTTTTTTTTTTCCATATATATATAATTTTTTTTACATGTTTCTTTTTGTTTGTTTTTTTTTTCCATATATATATATATATATATATAAGATGCGATGACAAATATAAATTTAGACTTTTATAGTTCTCAAGTCTTGACTAAAATTAGTTTTATGGTAAAAATAGCTCTTTATAGTTTTCTTATGTTTTATGGCAGATGATTTTATATTTCTAGAAGTTTTATAGATCATAGAATAAATTAAATCGTTCTGAAACCTTGACCTTTATAAAATAATAGTGATGATGATCATGATCATGATCATGACAATGATAACGTAATAAAAACTTTAGAGATGTTTCTAAATAAATCTATAAAATGAATATATTCATTTTATAAATAATCACGTTTCGTATGCATTTCGTAAATCTATCGAGACTTAAAACATATGAAATCATAATAAAAAAGATTAACTTTTACGATATATAATGACAATTTTATAGATCATCCTAAAAATATCTATAAAATGCATTTACTTATTTATTTATTTATTTATTATTTTTTTAATGGTCGTGTTATATATTATATTATATATTATATGTATTTTATGGCGTTCTATCGATCCTATAAAAAGGAGTTCGATGATAACAAAACATTAACTTTCACAATGATATAATTACGATGTAATATCAATTTTATTGATCTTCCTAACAAGATCTATAAAATCCAAAGGAAAAGAAAAAAAAAAACAAAAAGTTTAATATATAAAATAAAAATAACAAAAAAAAAAAATATATATATATATTACATCGCTCCTAAAGAGTGGGTCATAAGTTTTCCTAGATGGTCCTAAAAATCAATTATCCTTATATCGAGAAGATGTTACGGGCTAACTTTTTTCCCCTTCAGATCGTAAAACTACAAGCCCGGCTACAATTTTAAAATAACACGAGAAATTATTGATCCAACTAGAAACTTTTCCCACAACCTGTATATATCATACTACAAGTCACATAAATTTCTTGTAGAATTACTTGAAGATGTATCCTTTGGTCAATAAAGAAAAAGAAAAAGTAAATAGGAAGAAAAAAAGAGAGATGAATTTTTCCAAAAAAAAAAAAAAAAAAAAAAATCTTTAAAAACAAATTCATAATAAACCATCGTCAAGTCATAATAAAAAAAAAATCTCAACGAATATGAATATTTTTATATACTCCATCTCTCTCTCTCTCTCTCTCTCTCTCTCTCTCTCTCTCTCTCTCTCTCTCTCTCTCTCTCTCTCTCTCTCTCTCTCTCTCTCTCTCTCTCTTTTCTAAATCAAATATAGTGTCTATGTACATATAAGGCCACACGTTAAGATGGCTAGAAAGTTTCTTTAACGACTTTGCAAATTTTTTATTACTATCAAACTTTACGATTTACCACACCACGTTAATAATGTACATCGAGTATGTGAAAGATTCGATGACGGTAGGAAAAGGGAAGGTGACTTTACCGCGAAACCAAACGAAACTATAAACGAAACGAAGCGTCTGAGTAATCCAGACAAAGTGCCTTTCTAAAATTCGCCTTGGAAAGTTATTCGCTTTCGTTATTTTGATAACTCACACGTAATAACTTCATATTCATTTAATATAACTATATATAAATACATATATATATATATATATAATACATGTTGATATTAACTCAATTACTAAAATCTCCAGCGAATAGTTATAATAATAACTATACATAGTAATATTCTATCTATATAATACCTACTATATTTATACATATATTATATATATATATAATATATATATATATTATATATATATTATATATACATAATATATATATATATATATATGTATAATATTGCTAAAGAAAAGTATACAATTTAAAAAGTATAAAAATCTAATAAATAAATTTATCAATAAATATATAATGTTAATTATAATATAATAAACTGTATATTTGATATATATATATATATATATATATCAATTATACATATATATATATATATACTGAAGGTATATTTTTTAATAAAAAGGAAAACATCTAACAAATTAATAAAAAAAAAAAAAAAAGCAAAAAAAAACAGAATCTAATGATAAATCTAACAGATGAATGTTTAACAAATCAAGATCTCAAATAATTAGTTATAAAAATTAATTAAAAATATACGTTTCAATTGAAATAAAGTATCAACAAATATATGAACAAATACCTAAAGAAAATTATTAGTCAAATGATTTGATCAATTATTAAAAATACTGATGATTTCTCTTTTTTTTTTTTTTCTTTTCTTTCGTTTTCAACACCTTTCGTGAACATTTCTTTTCGCAACAACTTCGATCTATATCAATATATATCGAAGTAAAATATAAACTTTCTAGTCGAAGTTAAAATTCTATGAAACCTAATGAGAAAATCTGAATGTGAACGAAATTCTGAATGAGAAAATTATTAAATAAATAAATGTAACGGAATCGACAAATTAAATAATATTGATGATTTTTCTTGAATATTCTTTTTTCTTTTTCTCTACAAGTCTGACGAATGTTCCTTTTCACATCAACTTCGATATATATATATATATATCGATATCTAAAGGGATATCAGGAGAGAAGAACGAACGAAAGACGACTTTCGCTATCTTAATTTAAACGCATGAGGCAAAGTGTAAGGTGAAAGGAAAGGAAAGGAAAGGAAAGGAAAGGAAAGGCAAGGCAAGGAAAGGAAAAGTCAAGAAAAGAAAAGAAAAGGAAAGAGAGTAAATAAAAAAAAAAAGAAAGAAAGAAAGAAAGAAAGAAAGAAAGAAACATATAAGTGACATTCTCACCTGCATAAGAAAACAGAGGATGATCGTTGGTATGATTGTGAAACTTGGACCATATACACAGAGTAAACTCTTTTATATTCGGCATGTCGATCTTGTAATGAATGTACTGTAACGAAAAGAAAGAAAGAATGAGAAAATAAGTAAATAAATAAATAAATAAATAAATAAATAAATAAATAAAACGTGTTGATTGTTATCGAAAGGAAAAAAAGTGTCTACGTTGAAACAGGGGAGACATGGTATTATGAAAGAAGAAAGAAAAATTTCAACTGCAATCATGAATTGCAACTTGATTGTTTATACAAATGTCTAATAGTTATGTAATTGTGGAGTTATAGTTCTTTTTCCCTTCTTTTTTTTTTTCTATCGACATAATTTTGCACATTTTTATGATTACTTTTAGCAACATTTGAAAACTTAAAAGTGTACTTTCTAATACGAATAAAGCGTCTTATGAAGAAATAATTCATTGTAATCTAAAGTAATCTTTTATGCTTTCTTTTTTCTTTCTTTTTTTTTCCTTTTCTTTTCTTTTTTTTTTTTTTTTTTTTCTTTATATATATATATATATATATATATATATATATATATATATATAAAGAAAATTATTAGGTGAATAATCTAATAAGTAAAATTTCAAACGCGAATAGTTATAACGAGATAACTATATAATATTATTAGAAATTTATTTCTTAATAAAAGTAAAAGTCTTTAATAAATGTATTAAGTAAAAAGTGATTTTGAAAATTATTAGATGAATATCTAATGAAATAGATTCTTTTTTTTACTATCTCCGACAAATAATTATAGTATCAACTATATAATAGTAACCAGAAAAATACTAGTAACCACATAACACCGGTAAAACTATATAATACAACCAAAAGTATACTTCCTTAATGGAAACAAAATCGTACAGATTTGTGTAAAAGGGAAAAAAAAAAAAGGGTATTGAAAGTTATTACATAAATATCCAGTGTATCTGTTCGTTGCAAAATCTCCAATACAAATAATTAGGTAACAACTATGATATATATAATAATACCTAAGAAATTGATTGAACAAATTCTGATGAAACCTAATTAAATAAATACAAGAGCTGTTTTTATTTTTTTTAAAGTTCGCGAGTCATTATTTTTTTTTCTTCTTTTTTTTTTTTTTTTTTTTCTTTTTTTTTTTTTTTTTTTTTTTTTTTAATATATAAATTTTATTCTTAAAGAGAGATACAATATGAGTGAACAAAATTTTTTAAACGTTAAAAACTTTTTTAAATATTTAATAAACAAGTGAATAAAAAAAATCACTGAACAAATTAGTTAATTAATTAATTAATTAATTGTGATCTCAAAACTGACCTCGAAGTAAAGCTGTTGACTCATAGAAATCTTGTATAAAGAACATTGTTCCTGTTCGTGTGACAAATCGATCAGCTGTCCATCGATATCATAAGGAGAATTAGCCGGTGTTAAGCTTCCGTATAATTTTGCCTCCTGACGAAGGACACTCGTGCTTGGTACATGAGGTGAAGGTAATGGTTGCCATACTGTCGAAATTGCATTTACGTTGGTCAAAGCCAACAACGAATACATCAACAACGTTCGACTCATTGTCTTTGAGTCGAATCGATCGATTCCTCCTCTTCTCGAATGACCTCTAATTAAAAAAAAAAAAAAAAAAAAAACAGAAAAGAAAAAATAGATAAAAATGATCTAGATATATTTTTTCGATTTCGCCATAGTCCATCTTTTTTTTTCCTTTTTTTTTTTCTTTTTTTTTTTTTCTTGTGTATTAAATTATTCGATCGACATCGATCATCTTTTTTTTTTCTCCTTTTTTTTCTTTTTTTTTTTTTTTTTTTTTTTCTTTTTGTTGTTTTCTTTATTTTTTAAGAATTGTGTTAGCACGGACTTTAATGACTATGCAATCGTTAATCAATTTGAATTCAATCAGTATGAAGCAAGAGAAGTTTTATGGGGGAACCGAGGTGAACTGGATGCCCAGTTATATTACTTGCGCAATACTGGTGCTTGATATTCCTGTGAAACGTTAGTAACGAGGTTACTTTATCGACAACATTTTCCTTGTGGTAAAAGAGATATTAACGTTTTCTTTTTTATTTTTATTTATTCTTTTCTTTCTAGAACAATCGATCATATTACATCGAATTATTTACATACCACATCCAGTTCAATGACCCTTTTATTGGTGAATACATTATATTATATACTACATGCGTATTTATGTATATTCTTTGTGAATTCATTAATAAATAAGTGTTATTTTATAATGTTAAACTATTTGCTTATAATAAATTATTTATAATTGATTTTATTACAATTTTTTTTATTACAATATTTATTAATTATCATTTTATTATTATAACTTTATCAATTTTTACTTTTGATAACACTTATTTATAAATAAATTCAATATATATATATATATATATATATATATATATAGTGCAAATAATATATTATATATAAACAATTATTAAAAAAAAAAAAAAAAGGAAAGAAAAAAAAGGAAGATTTTCAAAATCAGCAAAAAAATTTCTCAAATATCAATAAAATAAAAATATGATATAAACGATGAACAAGAAATTAATTACAAATATATAATAATAATAAAAAAAAAAAAAAAGAAAAAAAAATAGGAAATAACTCACCGAGAAGTTAATCTCTCTCTTTCTCTTTTTCTCTCTCTCTTTCTCTCTCTTTCTCTCTCTTTCTCTCTCTCACGCGCGCGCACGCTAGTTTATAAATCGGTCTATGTCACACCTGAGAACAAAACAGATCCTCTCGATCTCGAAACGTGAAGGTAACTGTCCGCTGCTCTAACTGTTCGACGTATAACTGGTAAACTCTCGAAAGGTGTATGTATGTATGTATGTATATATATATGTATATATATATATATGTATATATGTATCTACCTACCTACCTCCTACCTACGCAACCCACGATGGTGATTCGCCTTTTGCTTCGTTCTCCTACTTTACGAGACGCTCACATTTTGCTCGATTTCCCACTCTCTATATTTCTTCCCTTCATCATCTTGCAAATAAACAATTCGATGTTCTTCCATCTTTTTCCTTAAACGTTCTTACGATATTTTTCTTTCAAGGTTAACTCTGATCTCATGTTATTTGTATTTCATTTCTAAACATTGCACGCATACACATACATACACAAACATACATACACACACACACACTATATATATATAAATATATATATATATATTTATAATATTTATTAAATATATAATAATAAATATAATACGTATAATTTGTATATAGTCTTGCATAGTATTATACACTTTATCGTACAAATTATTATGCGGTTAGCAATATTGTAAAGTTATTATATAATTAAATGCTATTACATTCAGAATTTTATATATTTATATATATGTGTGTGTGTGTATGTGTTATCTTAAAAGGTTGTTTATGAATTGAAAAAAAAGAAAAGACCAAACAAAAATCTCAATTAATGAATGCAAATAAATAGAATGTGAATGTTGATCCTGATTGCGAAAAAAGAAAGGAAAATTATAATGTATATCAGTAATTCTAATCTCGTTCATATTTATCTCTATGAAAAATTGTATGTATCTTATCGTTTAGAACGTCTTTTTCTAAGTTGACATCATATACTTGTAATACTACAATTTATCTTATTAAGAGAGTGTAAAACATGTTCGCCTTGTATGAAAATGTAGAAAATATTAATGAGTACAATGAACCTTAGATGCATATAGGCTGGATCGAAAATCTTCTAAGATGATTTTAATTATCAATTACATTCTTTTTCCTCGTGATTTTTTAAAACTAAATTAAAAAAAAATATATATATATATATTATCAATTATGATCACATTATAAAGAAAATTTATATGAGAACTTCTTTTCGTTCACCTTGTATATATATATATATATATATATATATATATATATATATTTCTCTTTTTTTCGTCTTATACTTTCGATAACTTTCACTAAAGTTTAAATCAAACAATATATTATCGTTTTACATCTGTTACGTCTGTTAAGACATGAGAGACATATATATATATATATATATATATATATATATATATATATATTGCGTATATATAAATAAATAAACAGAAGTAACATTTGTCGAGGGGGAGACATCGAGATATTCCAGGCGAAACTTTAAAGAACGCCTTTCCCTTTCTGCATCCCCACCATTTTTCATTTGCTCGATTATCCTGTCGTCAAGAAGTTGAAGCGTTAATGAGCATGAAACTCGTTAATGCATCCATTCTCCATTCGCTTTGATCCTTAGAAAAATGTAACTATATTTAATACAAATAAATATATCATAATAATATATCGTAATAATAATCGTATAATACTACTTTTTTTTTTTATAGTATTAATCGTAATAATATTATATATGAAATAATTCAACCCAAATATTTATAACAATAATTTTTATAATATTACTAACAATATAATATGTATAAATAACTCCAATATAAGTGCATGTAGAAAATTTTAAATCGACCTATAAAAAAATCAATTTATTAAATCGTATCGTTAGATCTATTACGTAAATCGCAAAAGTTTTTTCAAAAATATATCAAATTTCAAATCTAATTTCTATTGAAATAATTAAATCGTTGAACTTATTACGCATGTACACGTATGAATTTTCAAAAAGGAAAAAAAAAAACTCTTTCTCTGATACAGATTATACATTGTAAGATTTACAAGTATCATAGGCCTCGTAATGTCGTATTAAAGTGATTGTAAAAATACTTTAAAGATCACTACAAATCTATAGAATTACGGTACCCATACTGATGACTTTGATCTATTTGGTAGATCAACCGAGAACTCCTTTCTCTCTTTTCTCTCTTTCTCCCCCCCCCCCACTCCCTACCTCCCTCCCTCCTTCTCTTGATTATATGTTAAATGTACCTTTGAAATTCTTTGAAAGTGCGTACATTCTCGAAATAGTGTTTTCGTAACGATCGATTCTTAGTATTGAATAATACTTGTTGTTCCTGTTTTAAGATCATATAAGATTAGTTTCATTTGACATTATATATTCTTATCGCGTATTACAAATCATTTGGTACGCATAAGATATTTACAATATATTATAATAATTTTTTACATTTACTGACGCAAACACAGAGTACAATTTTTTTGTTTTCTACGTATAAAATGTATTTTCTTTTTTCTTTTTTTTTTTTTTAGAAATGGATTTTAAATATTTATAAAATTTATTAACCTTTTAATGTATGATTTTTGTTTATTTAATTTCTTTTTCTTTTTTATTTTTTTTTTTTTTTTTTTTTTATATAAAAAAATATATTACATCGTATTAAGCTGTAAAAAGAATGGCTAAATGATTAAATTAAAACATGAATGTATTTTTTATACCTATATATATATATATATATATATATATATATATATATATTTGTCATTCTAAAAATAATTAAATAAAAGCTTCGGTATGTATTTTTATAATTGACAAATGCGTAAATGCATTAAAGAATTAAATAATTTTATTTTATTTAATTTAAAAGATCTTGCATAAGAAAAAATTCGAAATGTCATTTCTCGAACTATTTCACACGATTAGAATAGATCACGATCTTCATATACCATAATGGTACGTGAATATAGATTAATAATTTTCATTCTCGATACGAACTTCAAATGATTAGGATTAATCTAACAAAGATTCGTCTTTGTGTGAATGTCTTTACAAGAGGAAATATCCTTGCACTTGGTATTCATGCTTCATGAGCACGTGGATTACTGGTTGGCGAAGGTAAAACTATATTTAAACGAGGTCGCAATATATATATATATATATATATATATATATATTATATCGTTAAATGAAATATACATGTATTTCATTTTTTCCGTTTACCAAAATACATGATTCATTTTGTGCAAGTGCCTTTCAAAATTAATATTATTTACAAAAAAAAGCTTGTCCCAATAAATCAATTATCTAATCGACGATTTAATTGACTTTACACGAAACGTATACCTTTATCTTTCTTAATAAATAATTATAAGAAAAAAATAAATATGAAAATAAATTATCTTTATTTATTCCCAATTAATAATTCATGAAAATTTATCCCCGTTAACGAATTATTCGCATAACGATCGTGCAATTAACTCGTCATAATAAAAGTATATTTTTATCTTTCACGAGATGGATAATTAAAAAAAAAGAAAAAGAAAAAAAAAGGAAGAAAAGAGAAGAAAAAGCATTATCCTGTGTAGGAAGAAAATAATTCAACGACGTATAGTTAACTCGACCGGAAACGTTTACTATGTTCTCAAGAGAAGAGAAGAAAGTCGGATACGTACGTCCGCCTTCCAACGAAGAGAAGAAGGAAGAGAGGAGAAAAACTCGAAGTGTAAGAAATGTTTTGTAAAGAGAAAAAAAAAAAAGAAAAGGAAGAAAGAAAGAAAGAAATAAAAATAGACAAAATGTAGGATCTCCACTCGAAGCTCTCTTCGTCTCTTTTTTTCGTTGTTACTCGGCGAAAGAACGTCTTTCTCAAGGAGAAGATGATGAAGATGATGATGATGATGATGATGATGATGATGATGACGACAACGACGACGAAGAAGAAAAATATACGAATAAGTTTTGAACAGATATTACGACATATTCCTTTCATTTACGTAAATCTTTTTATTCTCGAGATTTGTAAGATCTTTTTCATTTTATTTTTACACAAATTTTTGCCAAGGTTAGATTCAATGGAAATATCAAGTATTATATTAAAACTGGATTAACAGGAAATTATTACGTAACGAGTTTGTTCCATTAAAAATTGTTCGTGAATTTTCTAAATGACTATAATATACAGATATAGCGATTTAGATATTACATAAACGTATATAGTAATTACCATTGTTCATTAAGTTCGTTCAAAGTTTTATTCATTTATTTATCCATATAAATTTACTTTGTGATTGATAGGTAATTAATATTGGAATTTTTCATAGTTACGTTATGAATAATCATAGGTTAGGTATACACTATCATTTAATCTCGCTAATCACATTATTTACTTACATATATCGAGCTGGATATTGCATAATATGTACGTAATAATTAGATTGATCTCTCGTTAAATGATATTCTTCTAAACAATAAATAAACGAATAAAGTTTGTCTTCAAATTTGAAAAGTTAAAATATTGTGAACTTATATACATTCATATAAATGAGACTAATGTAAATTTTATCGAACTATACGTTGTTGTATGAAATAATTAGATAAATATTTAATTAGATATGTAATTAAGTAGTTGTAATTAAAAAAAAAAAAAAAATATATATATATATTTAATCTTATTTTATATTTATTTATTGAGTTACGAATGAAAAATATTTACATATTACGACGATGTTAAATAATATTACGAATAAAATAATAACGATATATGGAAATATTGTTTATTAAAAATTTCTGATATGTTAATAAATTACAACGAGCAGTAATATTAATTATCTGCATGTAATACATAATGTATATATATATAATTATAATATTAAATTAATAATTCACTTATTGATCGATAATATTAATTGTTCGATTAAATTATTATGACAATTATGAATAAAAAATACGTTACATTAAAATGATAATTCACTTACAATTTAATTTTAAGATATTGCGTATTAACTGACTGAATAGAGAAAGCGATCCGAACACCTTGAGATATTGATGAGAAATGAAAAATGTAAAATAGAAAGACGTGCCTCGGTCAAGTACGATCGAGGATGACGTATCAAAGAAAATAAAACAAAATAAAATTACGGCCAATCGGGGGGAATTTCTCCGAAGATGAATTATGTCACGTTCTTCTCGAAAATGTTGACAAAAAAAAACCTACCGATCTGTGTACATAAGTACACAGTATATATGTATATATATACGTATGTATATATATACGTATGTATATATATATATATATATGTATATATATTAGAGGGACCGGAAAGTAATGTCGCTTTCTTGAATTAAATTCAAACGACTAAATTTTTAACAAGTTTTTATTTTTAATCACAATCAAATATCAACATGCGCAGAAACGACATTACTTTCCGATCTCCCTAATATATACATACGTATGTTAATTATTAGAAAATAATTTGTACAATTTTTACATGTTATAATAGACAATCGTAAAAATTATTATCTAATGTCGTTTAAATGATTTTAAATTATGATCTTGAATTGAATTCTTTTTTTATGTATAAAAAAAAATACAATGAGGAGGACATACAAGAGATGGACATAAACGAATTCATGTAAAAATATGATCATATTTTTGAAGTATCGAGTGAACATAAAAATTATACATATTTCGAGTATACGTAAAATCGTTGATTTAATAAAATAAGAAAAAAGAAAGAAGAAAAACAAAGAAAAAGTAAATCTGGAAAATACAAATCCGAGAAATACCTTTTTTAATTATCTTACACGTGTACTGTCATAAATTTTCATTAAAGTATAAATTTGTACGAATAATTTTTCGACACCCTGTATACATATATATGCGTATATATATATATATATATATATATACTTGTATACCTATAAATATACACGTTTACAATGCTAAAAAATAAGAAAGGAAATAAAGAGAAAGACAGAGATAAAGTGGAGCAAATTTTGGTGAAAGTGAAAGCGAAGGCGGTTACGGAGATCCCTTTTTTGAGATCGAAATTCAGTCAGTTAATCTCTCTCTCTCTTTGAATAGACAGATTTAAAATTTGCTATATCATTCGAGTAAGAGAATACGTAATGATATAACGCTTAACATACGTGTTACAAAGTATCTATAATACGTATATATATATATATATATATATATATATATATATATATATATATATATATCTTCGTAATTTATACGCATACTTTTTTTTTACCATGAAGATCGAGAAACTCATAAAACAGCAGTCGAAGGGAAAGTGTTCTATAGAAGCGTGTCCGGATGCGGACCAACGGATGGGACGCATCGCTACTGTCTTACGTAATTAACTAATTGCCAACATCCTCCTTTTATTACGATAACTTTTTATTTCTTTTCTTTCTTTTTTTTTTTTACACTTTACTTTTGTTTTCCTTTTCTTTTATGTATGCACTTTATCGTTTACGAAGAATATAGCGTACTTTTTTTTTTCTTTTTTATTTTCTCATTTTCTTTTTTTTTTTTTTTTATTCTCTCTCTCAAGGACACCGAGTCCAATCAATTATCTCGTC